GGCGATGAGGTAAAGGAGAAAGACTCCTGGAATTTTCTGTCAGCTCTACTTGTTTTGTAAAGTGTGTCTGCAAATTTGCTTCAGGAAAACGTGTAGGAGTAGAGTCTTGCATATGGGCAGACCCTCCACGTGACTTGAACATCCAAGATGCATTCATCAGTCTTGATACATACTGATGTGTACATTGGAGATCATCAATTCAGAGTAGCCGTAATTAATAAAAAGTAACAGAAAAATGATGAAACATGCAAAAAATGTAACAATATATGCTGCTAAATAAGCAGTTCGATAATTTGTGAGATTCATTCATTTTAACATGTCTTTAGTTTGAAATTAGTGTGTGAATAATTATTAGTTATCTAATTCTATTTCCATGTCATCATTTCCCCTGATATATAAATGCTCTGGATGGCATCCTTAGTAATTTTAGGATGTCATGCTTACTTTCTGTTGTAAAAATGACTATTGTAAGTCAAGTGAAAACAGTATTATCCCCGAAGTGTTATTCTTTGGCATTTTCAGATTGTATGAAAGGGTCATTGATCTGTGGATACATTCTTTGGAAAAATAACAGCATTAAAAGTGGAAAGCCAATGGCATTTAGAATTACTTGTGTACAAATTTATATTCATATTCTGAATACAGATGAGTTGGAAATAGATTCCCTCAAAGAGAGAAAAAAAAAAAAGACAAAACAAACAAACAAAAAAACACCCACTAACTTTCATTAAATTATACTAGCTTCTTTTTTATTTGAGAAACTACCTGAAATACTCTTTAAAATGGATAGGAAACAAACAAACAAATTACAGCCATTGTATATTTAAAACATTGTTTTTACTTAACACATTGTCCACAAAAAATTGTTTCATTTTTTGTAAATTAAGTTTGAAGTTTACATGTTATATTTTGTCACTGTAAAAGTGTTGTATTATGTTAATCAATCGGTTGTATTTTAAGAAGAAATAAAAAAAAAAAAAAAAGAAGAAAGGAAAAGGAAGGAAAGAAGGAAGAAAGGAAGGAAGGAAGAACAGTTTTAATTTCAGCTTAAACTACATAAATCATAAAATATATCTTTTGGCTGGGGGAAGATAGTGGGAAATGTAATGAAAAAATAAAATTAAGCAAACTCTAAGTAAGATTTTAACTAAGAAATGTTCAACTAAGAAATTTTAACTAGAAAACAGCAGCAAGTTGTACAAGATGAAGGTCTGTACCCAGAGGCTGTATATTTTGCTAGCTGTACTGGTGTCAGTGGGCTTGAGTGTACCTATGTGTGCTATCTGTCCAGCTGTGACTGGATGTTTTGAGATGTTCATGGAATGGCATGATACCTGGTCACGTAAGTTACTGTTGTCATTTGCTGAGTGGTATGTGTGATGTACAATTGAAATTCCTTCCTGGAGGGAAGTAAATTTATAACTCCTTTTTCAATATCTAGTGTACACATCCTTAGCCTGCCCTTCCTCCCTCCCTCTTTCCCTCCTTCATTTTTCTTTCTCTCTCTCTCTCTCTCTTTTTCTTTCTTTCTTTTCTGAATGATTTGTTATCTTCTCTCTTATCTGTAATATTTGAATGAAAAATTAAACAAATACATTGTCTGATCATTGTATGCAGTGTAAACATAAGATTTCACATAGCGCTATATAAACAAAGCAGTGATCATTTTTCTAGATCATATATAATCTCAGAAATTTTCTTCTTTATTTTAATATGACAGGTTGAAAATATCATTAGAATACTCAAGTTATTATAGTCGAGATTTTGAATAATGAAGCTTGAGCACAGTTGAAAATTTCAATGTCATCTTTATGGTAGTGAAGATAAGCAGAGGTCACTCAGAAGTCATTAATAACGTAGGTTATATAGATTTTTCCCTACCCAGTTGTTTCAGGGTTATCTCTGAACTGCAGTACAGTCCCAATTGTGTTGCAATGGTGCTTCATCAAAGTGTTGTTTCTTTAAATTACTCTCACTGTTAAGAAGAATTTTTAGCAGACACTGAAGAGTTCATATTACCTACATATTTTAGGACACCAGAATCAGTGATGTGTGTTATCTATTAGAATAGTTCTTTTTGCTATTAATATGTATTTTTGTGATACCCATATATACATTAATTTATCTACCTTAATTAACAGCAAATTAAAGCTAAATGTATGTTATTTTAACAACACATGACTATTTTCTGAAGATTCTGAAGTGGATTAGCACACGCCATTATCTTTCATAGCCCTCATTGACCTACTGAATCCTTCTTATTTGAACAGTTTTCCTACAGTTAATCTTTTATATTTTTTTAAGTGAATACTCAGCCATCTTAGTTTCCATAAACCTCTGGATCACCTGTAATACACAGAACTACATATTCTATGCTATACTTATGGTCTTTGTTTTATTTAAAAACAATGAAAATGTTAGTGAAAATACAGTTAAATTAAAGTTGAATATGAGTAGTATCTTTGAGAAATTAGTTTTCCATTATCTAGTCTTGATTTATTTATTTATTTATTTATTTTTTAACTCTGGTAAGATTGTTGTTTAAATTGATTGTAGTCAGCACAGGAAAGAAGATAGTGGGCAGCAGAAGTCAGCACAAAAATTCTTCCAATAACGATACCTCTGTTTCCTCTCATAGGGCATTGTTTTTGTAATATTCTGCAATCTCCATATACACAAAAGAATTGGAGGTATGCCTACTGCACAACTCAGTTGGCTAAAATTACTTTCCTAAAACTCTGTAGAGCATGCCAGTGTCCACTGAGAAAAATGCTGGCAGAAGGGATTTCAGAGCACCCAAGCTGGGTTTTTACCCAGGAAATGCATTTTGTTGAGGGCTAACATGGGGGTCTGGAGATGACCTCCAGTTCAGTGGCCAGCAGAGCAAGTCTTCCATCCATGTACACCAGTGCAAAACCACACTGGCGCTGAAAGGGAAGTTGGGTTGTAGTTTATGTACTCTAGAAGAACTAATGAAATAACACAAAGTATCAGTTACTGTTTCTGGCTTTATTTTATTTATAGTTCTTCTGTATTTATCCATTCAAAGGCTGTTTTAGAGCTTTTCTCTCAGTTTACCCCACAACGGTAGGCTTTTCATATATGGGTTGTTTGGGAGACTGAATAAAATTAAGAGTTACTGCTTCATGATGTATTTAGTGAGAAAGACTTTCTCTTATTTCTGTAAATCAGGATCAATTGCTGCTTGTAAGATTTTCACATTTTCACTGTTGGGTTGAGCTCAACAAGGCGTAAGATACTGTGTTCTAGGACCTTAACTGGAGCATCACCTCTGAAAAGACTCTATTTAAGTAGTGGGTTCTAATTAATGATTCACCCCTGAGAGTGGTTTACATCAGAAATTCCAAATTGAGCAATCAGTGTTAATTTAATTTGTACATGTGAATGATAATAGAAATGTTTCCTGTATTGTTTAGTTGTTGTTGTCATCTTAAATGTGTTTAATAGTAATATCAATTTTGTTAGTCAGTAGCCAGGGTTTGTCTTCTAAGATTCATAGAATAGAAGGCCAGGAGAGGTCATTACCACCAGCCAGTCTAATTTATTATGTAGCATGTGCCAGAGTGCTTCTTTTCTAAATTTAAATTTGGTGTGAATAAGAACAGATTTTTGGGAAAAAAAAAAAAAAGTATTCATATTAATTTAAAATATTTCAAATGAAACAGAGTGACTTGCAGTGATAAATATCAGTTTGATTTCTAGTCTAAATTAAGCCTCTATCAGTTGTAAACCTTTGTCAGCTAAATCAAAGGCTCATTTGTTTGGGATTTTCATTTTCCTGTAGAAGTCTTTACAGACTGTGACTTAGTTGTCTTCTACCTTAATGTATGTTTTCCAAACCTTCAATTATACTTCAGTTTTCTCTAAATTTTCAGTAGACTTTTTGCATGTAGGTAAACTCAGTTAATCTGATATTGCTCACATGGGGTAGACATTATGAAGATAAATATCCATAATTTAGGAGGATAAAGATAGGCATTTAGAAAGTATCTTCTTAGAGAAGTGTAGAAAATTAAACATAACGTCAAGAATAAGGGCATCTTTGTTCTAATGTAGCTTTAAGTCTGGGAGGTATGATACCCAAATAAAGCGACAAGATATGAAAAAGTAGGAACTGTAAAAAAAGGAGCAGAGATTTTTTTTCTGCATTTTAGATATTTATTTTTACTGTCATTTCCTGACAGTCTTTATTTTTTTAAGTAGCTCGGGAAAAAAGATCTCAGTAAGTCAGAATTTAAAAATGGAGTCACACATAAAATATAATTTTTTGTGTTTGCATGTTGTGCAGAATTTTAGATGTTGGTTTCTGCAAAATGTTGTTGTTTTTTTTAGCAGTTTCTTTGAGTTTGAAGGAGTGGTATTTGAAGTGGCAATAGAGGCAAAAAAGATGCGGTGTCATTCAGAACCTGTAGATAATCCAGAAGTCACCATTGTTCATATTTTAGCCAGATAAGCAGCAGAGTAAAAATAACCCAATTTTAAACTCATATTATTTGAGAAACCTTTCACTGTCTGCAGAGGCACCAAGTTATTCAAAAAGAGGAAGCATGCAAAACTGCAAAAAACAAACCCAATCCTAGTTCCTATAAGAAAGGTTGAGTAGAGGGAACTTTTCTTCACCACTAATATGAGGTGCTGAAAAATCTCTCTGTATACCATAGAGAGAAATTTATTTTATCCCTCCATTCCTCCTTCAAAATGTCATGTAGAAACACTGAACACAAAGACAAAATTTTAAAACAAACTTTTATTTGATTTATTTCATCTGTGATGGAAAAGTGGAAGAATTTGTAGTGTTAAAATAACAGAATTATTCCTAAAGTCTACATTTTCGAAATTCCTTCTATAATACTAAGTAAGTTGAGTGAAATTGCTTTATCTCAAAATTATTGAGATAAAGATTATTGTAGTTAGAAATAACATTTAATTTAGGAAAATAGTAGGGATAGATTTAATTTGTTCTTGCCTTCATCTTGCAGTTTCCTCTATGTCTGCCTGTGGCCACTGAAGGAGACAAGAAACTGGGCTAGAAAACAGTTGTTTTCCTCAGTGTAGCTCCTTATTTCTTTATGCCAAAAGTTAACCTGTCAATGATGGAGAAATGAAGCCAAGCAATAATGTCAAAAGTTAATACTTTTCAGATGTACTATTGCATATCTGGTGTGTTCTCTGTCTTTTTCTTTTCTGCTAAGTTAGCATATATGAATTGTGGCTTTCAATATAAGTGTAGCACATTCACAAGATGGCTTAGCCATTTTTCCAGAGTATTGTAAATTTAGAAGTTCCTGATTTTTATTTACTGAACTAACTCTACCTTATTTTCACTTAATCTATATGTATTTTAATTTTAATTTAATAAAGAGAAAGCCGTCAAGAAATCACATTGCATTCTGTGATGCTCCCATAACACTAATTAGTAAATAATTCTGTGCATTTACATATTATACCTTTCTTGTGGCAATCATACCCCAAGAGCTGGTCATTTTGATTTTTATTTTTTTTTTTAACTTCATGATTTATATTATGAATGTATTTAGGTTTTGTATTAAAGGCTGTACAGTTAAAAACACTCAATCAAAAAAGAATGTTCTTTGTCTCAGAGATCTTCAATTTCTAGCATAAAACCAGACTTTGTGAATAATAATAATTAAAAAAAAAAAAAACAAACAACAAAAAACTAAGTTGTTTTAATTCTGATTACTGCATTTTGGCTTGTGCATAATGTTTTTGTTTGCTTGCTTGTTTGCTGCCTTTTCAGAAGGAAAGACTGATAGTAAGACTGATAATATTATTTCAAAAATTTGGAAATATTATTTTTTTTTCCATACTGACCCAATCCCATCCAACAAGAAAATTTATAGTAACACTTGGATAGTTTTCATAGACTAGTATTTAGCAGTTTATAATAGTCTTTACTTCTTTGCATAATATAACAGCTTATATTAGTAATAGGAACAAGATTAAAGACACTGAACAGATCGTTTCATGGAACAAATGAATTCCTAGTCATATTAATTGCTGAACTTAAGCTAGGGAAGTATTGCATACATAAGCAGGGGAAATGGAAAGCTGTTTGCATAAATATTTTTACACTGTTAAAGCATGTTATTAATAGACAAATTGGACCAAGAGTCTGCCACAGGAAGCTTCATCTTCCATGTAGTTATGAAGTGCATTCCATCAGAAATCACAGGGCTTATCAGCTCAATGTGATAAAAGGACTGCGTTTTTATTTACACAATAACCTCAAATCCTCATATTAAAAAGTGGCAATTTTTTTTTGCCCTTTCCTGTTCTAAGTGTGACACATGTAACAATTATTCATCATTCCATAATGGATCATTTTTATCAGAGTCTTGTGTCTCTTCCGTATATATAGAATAAATATTTATGTTTTCTCATTTTTCTGAACTAGGAGATACTGATAGAATAGGTTTGAAGTGTCAACTATAATTCATTGCCTGCAAAGAAAGACTTTATACTGATACTGTGTGAAAGGAAAAGAATATCTAAATCATTTCAGCAGTAAGCTTATAACCAAGATAATATCAGCATTTTCCTTCTTGAAAATATATCTGCCATAAATTAAAGAAGGTCTTCGGTATTTTATTAAAATGCTTGTGACAAGTTTAACCCCATCTTCAGCAAGAATGTTTGTATGAATACAAAAATCTTTTTTTTTAAAAAAAAAGTGAAGGTCAAGTGAAACTTAGAACAACTGAACTGAACTTCATACTAATTCTGCAAATACTTTACTTGGAATAATAATAAAATTGATGCTTATTTAGTATCAGTCTAAAGGTACACATTCTATGTGATCAGTAGCACTTAGTCATTTTGTACAATAATAATACAGTTTGAAAAAAAAAAACACCCTGCAATTAGTATATTTGAATAAAATTGGCCTTAATAGTAAATATAATAGAGGAGAGGTGCATATCACAGTATATAATTGTGCTTAAATATATAAGTAGCAAAGTAATTAGGATAATAAAAACATAATTAGAACTGAAAATATGTTTGTAATTAAGCACTTTATACACAAATACTATTGTTCAGTATCTTTCAACTTTTTCAGCTGTGCATCCAGTTTCTTTAATGAGAAAAATAGAAGGAAGTGTTAGTACTGCTTGTAATGAAGTAATAACACAAGAGAAAAGGTGTAGGTGATGAAACTTTACATTTGTTTTGTAGAATTCATAATTGTCCTTTTATTATTAAATATATATATATGTGTGTGTGTGTATATATGATCTGAAGTAGTTTAAGGGCCATATACAGCCTTTCTTTGACAAATATACCCATTTCTATGGGTGATGCAGAGTCCTTAAGTCTCCTACTTTCTGTGTCAGTTCTCCTTCCTGAAGCCCTAGGCTGCAGCACCAGCACCTCCCACATTTACAGCCAGCCCTGCAGCTTCCACATGCTTGGTAGTTCCAGCTGCAGTTGGGGAGTGCAGGTCTGCTGAGAGAGCTGCTCTCATAGGCAGTTGGACAGAAGAAACACTTCTTTTTCTGAAGACAGTCCAGAAAAAGTACTCAGAAGACTGAAGGCATCCATTACAGGCTGGAACAGCTTTTCTCAAATAAGTGGAAAGCCAAAATGAAGTCTTGGTGTTTCTGATGAACATGAGAATTTTACTTTGAACTGTACCTTTTTCCCTACAATAAATTTAATCACTCATTAATATCAGATCAGACTGGTGATGAAACAAGCTAGAAGGTTTAGTAAGGTCATATATTTATAAGGAAGCATATATTAAGATGTATGGGGTATACCTAAAGTTTATGCTTAGAACTGCTATTTAGAAATTTGATTATTGGCTTCTTTAAAAAAATCAGATATTAAAAAGACAATGTGCGAATGAACCCTTCCTTGCAATGACTAAAACACATAGAGACAGTCATTCATTTTAGAAGCGATTAGTATATTAGGAAAATCAATAATGTAAAGATATGTATTCATCCCTGCCAGTGACATGAATAAGCTAAATGATCTTACGGTATTTGCTGTTGTCAAATTCCATTAGCAACTTAGGCATGATAAGAATGTCATTAATGTGAAACAAAAATTAATTGCTATGATAAAGCAATAAAACTTGTTTAATAGTGCATGATCGGTAGCTTGAAAGATACTTGTAATTTCAATTTTAAGTCCTTCTGTAAATATTTTCAGTTCCTACCAGCTCTGAATTTGTGATTATTTACAGACCAAGTGGAATTTACTCTTAGGTGGTCACTCTGTAGTAACAAAGTGCTATGGATGACTCCATTTGTTTACCATCTTGTCCTTGTTTTAATGTTGCACCATCCCACCCTAAAATCAATATGCAAGATAGGGCTGTCCACTGAGTGCACCTTGTGTAAGTAAATCATCTCACTATGAGAGCTCAAACAGGTAAGATGATTCCAAGTCATGGCAGTTTAAATTGATAGCTTTTCTGTGTTAAACAAAGAAATGAATTGGTTAGCACTTTTCACATTTCATTCAGATTTTTAGGCATCTTTTTTCAAGATCATGTTGTTTATGTACACTGAATTTTTGTCAGTCTTCTCAAGCAGCCTCCTAAATAATGCCATAGTTCAACCCAAAAAGCTACCTACAGGCAGGCTGAGAATCTTCTATAACTCGTAGCTTCTACTGATTATCAGAGAAAAGTAATAGTATCAACAGCATTTGTCTCTATAGATTCTACACATTTCATTTATAAATAGCATAACAATGGAGAGATTGCCATTGTCTGGACAGCACACAACCACTGATACTTGGCGTTGTCTTGCAAATTCACTAGGTCCTCTTTTCTTTTGAAGAATCTGAGTAAATTAATAGTAATAAAAGCAGGAAGTCAGATGAATTGGTCTGTTTTCCACCAACTATTCTAAGTGAGAATGTAAACTTTTTTTAGAGTAATTTTTTTTTCCCTCTCAGTTTTGCTCTAGTCTAAAAAAAGAAATCAGATGTTGAAAATACATCTTACCTAGATGCACTACAAACACTTCAGAATAATAAAGCTCAGCTTTTAATTACCAAAAAATAAAAAATAAATCTGTCTGCATCTATATGGTTATGCTTCTGAAGAACTACTTAGAGCTTTTAGTCACTTGCATACAATTAAATGCATTCTAACACCTTTTTTTTCACATTAGCTCATTGTTCTTTCCTTTAAAATATCAATTTCTGGTTTAGTATTAGGAAGATACTATATGAGGATGTCTAAACTGAACCATGAGCTCATACCTGCTGGAAGTCAGGCACTTGCGTCTCTTCACGTTAGGCTACTATGTGTATTTCACTATGAAGATGCATTCTAATGTATTATTATCCACAATTCATCTTTACAAAGGATTGTCTGCTGTTATAATGTGAGACAAGTTTGTCAGACAAAAAATTGTATTGGCCTACCAGTGTGTATGGATTCATATACCAGAGGCTTTTCTTGCTCTGGTAAAGCCTCGGTATGCTCTGTTCCAAGAATATGGGTACATTAGATGAATTGATTTCATTGCATGTCAATTATTTGAGCTTTCAAATGGAGATATGAAGAAATACTTGTTTGTCTTCATCCCCTTCTGAACCATGGGGTCCAACTTATGTTGTACAACAAGTATGATGTCTTCGTGGCAGCTTAATCAGGCACACTGACTGCTGCTCTCTTAATACTTTTCAAACAAAACATTACACTTCTGAAGCGAGAAAACTCTAGGATCATATAATCCTGTAGATTCTGAATGACTGGTGCTGACCTCTGAGTAGCTTGCTTCACATCATCCAGCACTAAAAAATTTCATTGGATGCAAAAAGAAACTGAGCTAGAAAACAATTGTTGTTCCTCCATGCAGTTCCTTTATTCCTTTATGGCAAAATTTAACCTGCTAATGTCAGGATGGAGAGGTGAAGCCAAGGAGAGGTGAAGCCAAGCAATAGTGTCAAAAACAAATGCTTTTCAGATGCACTATTCCATACAGTGTGGTCTCTGTTCTTTTTTTTTTTCTTTTTTTTTTTTTCTTCTTTTCTGTTTCTGCAGTTAACATATATGAATTGTGGTTATAGTTCACTTTTTAATACAAATGTAGCACATTGACAAGATGGCATAGCCATTTTTTTCCAGAGTATTGTAACTTTAGAAGTTCCTGATTTATATTTTCTGCATTAATGGTAGCTTATTTATTAGAAAATTGATGCTAGTTTAGCATTAGAGAATTAATGATAGTTTTTATATTAGAATTCACATCTTAAAATGCTCTGTAAGGAGCTTGCTTCACATCTTCTCGCACCAAAAAACTTCATTAAGAAAGCCTACCATTGGACAGAAATGCAGTCTTTTCATGTGTTCCAGAAAGCTGAAGTGTGTGGCTTAGCAATTTCAGCAAGTCCGCCAATCTTGTGTTTGAAAGTGGTATTTCAAGCCCAAAGAAACAATGTGCTCTCTGAAGTGTTAATTGCTGTTAGACCACATATGTTTGAGTGTGCCTTTCTGAAAGTATGAAAAAAAAAAAAGTGTTGCCTCCAGAATATCTACTCTTTGATTTTGCAGGGTTTGATAGATGACTGGTTCATAAACACTAATGTAGAAAGCAAAAGAATGATGTATAAGCCAAGCTACTGAAGAGATATGGCATTTCAAATGTTTGGACAGGCGTAACATATTGTTGTCAATTGACTCTTCTTATCCTTTCCTGCCATGGGTTATGAAATCATACACCTTGAAAAAAGGAAATTCAGTTATGCATTTAACATTTTTGGAATAGTGAGGGATACATAGCTAGTGTGGTGAAAGCAGGGTGGGTTTATCTGTAGAAGTTAGTTACGAAAGTTATCTCAGTTGTTTTAAGTATAATCAAAACCTGCTGTATGCCTCAGAAAATCTGTAACAGTTGAACAAAGGCTGCTGTTGCCACAGGTTGGAATCTAAACTTTTTATTTATTTTTTTTTTTTTCAGAGTGATGAAATATTATTATTATGGGAGTTCTAAAATAATGAGAAATTTGGCTTATGAAAGTGATGTTAAGAATCTCTCTCTGTGTCCAAAAGGGATTTAGGGGCAACAGTTGGCATAACAGCTTACCAGCAAGTGGACCAGTACAATGAAACTTGAGTTCTCTGCTCCACCTCATCCCAACCCCAATAAATTTTTTCAGTTTTCAGCAATCCCTTTTGCGTGAAAAGACTTGAAGCTTAATTTTCAAGGTACAGAATAAAAATAAGAATAAAAACAAAACAACTAAGATGAGCAGTGATTAGATGCTGCTAAGCAAGGATTAGTGATTTAGTCATGGATAAATTTTCTTCCCAAAGGAGAGAATAAGGACTGAAAGCTGGCAACTGCTGTTATAGGCTACAGAATAGACAGGTGGACTGTGTTTTAAAGCAAACAAAAAAGCTGAAAGCATAGTTGGAAAATTAATTTCTGTGTTGTATTCTTTCATCTGAAATGTTTAATTTTCAGACTCTCATTCATTCCCGGTGAGGTGGATAAAGTATGTTGCTGAACAGAATAAATCTGAGGATAAATATCACTTCATACATTCCCTAACAAATAACAGGACTCCTGGTTTAAAAGGCTTTTATAGTGGATGAATCAGTTTAAAATAGCATTAATCATTGAAATATTCAATGCCTATGTCAACCATTACATTTGGACACCAAAGGAGCTCTTTTTCTCGTTAGAACACATTGCAATAGTCCCCAAACATATTCTTCATTTCTTCAGAGAATGTGAATGGTACCTCCTTCAGTTTTTCTCCCTGATTTCAGTGCTATTTTGCTTTCCAAATCTCTTAAATAACAGATTCAATGAAAACAAACAAACAAACAAACAAACAAAAAACTTGTTTGTTTTTTAAAAAGAAAACCAGCTGCCAGGTATTTCCTCTCTGGAAAAATCTCCTTAGTTGCGCACCTGGATTTATCTATACATGGTAAGCCATTAGTTCTACCTTGTCCTTGTACCAAGAGACGTTCTTTTAAGAAAGGAAGTGGGACAGCAGCAAAGAAAGAACTGTGCCTACAGGAAAGGTCAAGATTTTCAGAATTATCTTAAGGGTCTTCAGAAACTTTTCTATTTAAAAAGATTAGATTT